AAACCAAGACCCGATTACATGGTTAAACGAGTTCAATAACGCATGCGCAGCAAACGGATGGAATGCAGCACGCAAATTGCAAGTCGTGCCCGCCTATCTGAAAGGAACGGCCGCAGTATGGTGGCAAACGGTTGTCAACAACCCTATAAACGCGTGGGGAGGAGTAGCGAATAATAACACATTTGAACATGTGTTCAAGCAGCAATTCCGAACACCTGCATTGGTTGAAATGTATAATATACTTATTTTATTTGTTCATGATTTTGGACTAACGGCAACAACAACCGAACGAAACGGTCGATCAATATGCGTCAGCAATCAGGGAATTATACCAGTGAATCAACACGCCGGTATTTGCATACCCGGATAATGTACAAGCCCGGAAGTTCGTGTCTGGCTTTTTGCCAGAATTATACATGGCGGTGAAACCCTTTGGAGATCAAACGTTGACCGACGCCATTAATCGAGCAAAGGCCTGCGAATTGACGATGAATTCTGGAAGACCCCGGATAATGAATTATGCACAAACCGGCAAGTCTGAGATGGCTGAATTGACGAAATTAGTTACCGTGTTGGCGCAACAAGTTTCCGAAATTGAGAAGAAAATTGATAATCGTCCGTCTGGTAGTTATCGGAAACCACCTGCTGCGAGACCAGAACTATCGGTTCCAGATAGACCACCAATAGTATGTTACTCGTGCGGGGAACCTGGACATATTAGCAGACGATGTCCAAAGAAGGAGAATACTACCGGTGGTAAGGCTGGTTTCAACCCAACCGGAAATATTGATCCCAATTTGCTCCAAGGACTGTTGAAGCAATTGGGAGGGCAAGGACAATCGGCGCCTTTAAACTAGGAGGTGCACCTTTGGAGGGTGAAGGTGCGAAACCCGTTCAAAATCCCTCGTATGTAACCTTGTTCCAAGCCTACCCTGCTCAAAGGAATAGACCAAAGACTCGAAGTACTCCATATCCGAATAAAGAAATAATCGAAGAGGAAAATGCTCTTGAAGATCCTCAGTATGCACCAATACCGATTCCTATCCAAACGACTAATAATGTTGGCGAAGGAGAGCCGATGACCGTCGATGCGAAAGAACAGGCTACCGAAATTAAAAAGAAGAAGGCTACGGTGCGGAAAAAGAAAACACCGAAGGTTCAGCCGTCAATAGCTGCTCACATACCACCGTACAACATAGTTGCCGATTTACAATAGCAACGAGCTAACATTACCTTCGGACATCTATTTCAGATATCACCAAAGCTTCGAAGCGACGTTGGAAAAAGTTTACGGAAACCAATGACTAGAAGCGCTAAATTCGCTCATCAGGACGTACAAAGTACGACAGCAATGTATTGCGACGCCATGATAAAAGGGAAAAGAATCCCATTAATTGTCGATACAGGAGCAGCTGGTAGTATTGTTACCTGTCAGCTGTTGAATGACTTGGGAATTGCGATAGACCGACCATCTGCTATTGTGATGATAAACGTCAACGGGGAAAAGAAACGGCCATTGGGTGAAGTGCTGGATTTTCCGATAACCGTTGGTGGCGTTACTGTTCCTATCAACGTGGTAGTAATCGATACCGAATCTTATAGTGCCATAGTAGGTAACGATTGGCTATCGAAAGTGCAAGCCCAGTTAAACTATAAGGCATCGACGTTGTTGTTCACTTGGCAAGGCCGAGAAGTGGAAATCCCTGTTGAATATCGGATGATGCCGCACGAACGAACGATAAAACAAAAAGAGGAAGAGGCGAGGATAGTTGAAAGTGAAGAGGAAGAGGACGATGATGATGGAGATGAGGAGGAAGAGTCCGACGATGAATACGAAGAGGAAGAATTAGAAGAAAAGGTTTATTGTTGCTATCAGTTCGAAAGCGACAGTACGGATACTTTAAAGCAACGTAGATCGTCCGGACTGAAAAAAGAAAATAGTACGACGAGTGGGGATCTAGTTCTC